GAACTGGAATCAGCGGTTCTGTTTGAACCAAAACAAACCCTTAAAATTAATATTAGGAAGTCACAAATTTCTATAGCAAACCTATATATCTGTACCATCCGTGAATAAGTGGATAAGTCAAATTTTAATAAAAATAGGATATCTACATATATCAAAAGGGCTCTTCCCATTCTGTTTGGTAAATAAAAGGGTGATTCAAATTCGCAATAGCTTCCTCCATGAGTTTACTTCAGAGGACGCCGTGAATAGTTGGATTTCTCCAATTGTTTGTGCCAAAACCGGTAACTACAGCTATCCCCGGATTTGGAAGAGGTTTATCCAAATGATCAGTCGTTTTTTAGTTTTCTTTTCCAAACAAAATGTTTGTTATTTGAAATAAGTTTACTTTGCTTTTTTCATGAATAAATAAAAATATTAAAAAAAATTTGTCCTGTCAGTAACTCAACAACAACACACATATTTGAGGTCAATAAATAGACAAGTCAGATTTTTTCCATTAAGTAATATCATTTCACAGGTCATAATTATTTACATTGTTGGTTGTATAATTAACAACCTATTTCAAAAAAACGAAATTCAACTTAAAATTTGTTTTTCGAAAACATCAAAATGTTGTTTAAAATGGCCATACTGAAAAACTTCAAATTTTTGACTTACCTACTTATTCACAGATGGTACAGATATATTTATGAAGTTGCCGGATGGATTTTATTAAAATCCATATATATAAGCTTACATGTGTTTTGTACAGTCTCTTACAAAAATAAAATTGATTAGCATTGAGAATCTCGAACTATTGGTATTCACCATTAAGCGATATTTTTATGTACGACTGTCGCGAGTGAACTACCTTAATCCGAACACCTAATTGTCAGACCTTGTTCGAATTATCGAATTGTTCGGATTAACGAATATACAATAAAACACCCCTTGCACATTTTTAGACCTTTAGATCTATGTATTTATATTGTTTTTTGTACATTTAAATGCATTATCAAACTACATATGTATGTATGTAAATGTAATGCAGGTCTTTTCCTGTCAGCGTTCAGATTACAGAGGCGTCGTTCGGACTATCTCGCATCACGATTTGCGTTCGGATTAGCGTAATTCGGATTAGCGTGGGTTCGGATTATCGAGGTTGGTCTGTAATATCAATATACAGAGTATTCCGTAATGATGTTCAAATATTTTAACAGGGTGTTCTACCAACTATTTAAGGTGGGTTTTCTTATAAAATTCTGTAATTTTGGACTTCTCTGTCGAGATATTTACGTCTCACAGTAGATGAACGGTTGAATGTAGGGGTAAATTACAACAGTGAAAACAGTTTCTAAATTACGTGTAGCATTTACTGAAAACAATTTTTTTGTTGAAATTGGCTTTTAACCCTTTCGACCCCCTTGGGCTATACCTATATGTCCCGACGAGAATTTAAAATTTCTATTTGGTATAAATATGACCCAATTTTAATGTGTTATTTGATTAATGGTATTCTTCAAGCATATTCTTGAAAATAGAGAAGTTCTGGTAACGTGGCTTGTTTACCGGTCATTTGTTCACTTGTTTACAAGCGTGCTAGACGTGTTTGAAGCTTTTTTGCGTTGTTTGTGTTATTTCCAGTTCTTTCATAAAAATTTTAACAGGTAATTAAATTTAAACATAAATTTATTATAAATATATCTATTCGTAAAATTTATTTCAAAAACCAAGTAAAAAACATGCCATTTTCTACTGGGACAAAAATATCCCAGTGGAATTTACAAGTGGGATGTATAAAACCCAGTGGTTTTTTGTTACAGTATGTCGTAGAGAGCATTATCAGAAAAAGAATTAAATTATTGGGCAAATGTTTCTGAAGATGAAGATATAGATGATAGAGATAAAGATTATGAAACCGAAACAGAATTTTCCAAATTAGGTGAGGATGGGGAAATAAGTGAATATGACGGAGAATCTTTAGATAGTGAAAGAGAATCTTCAGATAGTGAAAGAGAATGTAGAAACGATGATCGCACAAAAAATAAAGACCAAACTCAAGAAATACAAAAAATAATCAAAATCGAGAGCCATTGTGTGGTCAAGTCTTTCTGATGACTTTTTACCAAGGTTCAGCATTCCTGCTAAAAATAAGTGTGCGTTAGACAAAGGATTTACAAGATCTTTGACACGATTTGAGGTGTTCAAAAAATTGTTTCCTCCAAGTTTATTCATTTTTATTTCTAAATGTACAAATAAAAGGCTGACAATATTAGAAAAACGGAAAAAGAAACGCATTACTAAACCCGATGTAGGTGAAATTGCAATTGTTTTAGGATCTTCCCTAGTAATGAGTTATAACAGATTGCCAGGTCTTAGACATTATTGGTCTACACATCCTTCAGTAGGAAATACACTAATAAAAAATAGTATTTCTAGAAATAGATTTACATTGATATTACCTAAATTATACGTAAATGATCCAGAAAAGCAGGGTACCTTTAAAACATTATTTGGATAAACTAGGGAACTATCTGAAGTCAACATTCCAAAAATGTCAAGCAGATTTTTCCAGGCAAAGTATTGATGAAAGTATGGTAAAATTTAAAGGCCGGTCTGGACTAAAGCAATATTTACCAATGAAACCCACTAAAAGAGGAATCAAAATATGGGTTAGATGTGATTGTTGCAATGGTTATACCTATGACATGAATATTTATGCTGGCAAAGAAGACCAGCTGCAAGAAGGAACTCTTAGCGAAAGAGTTGTATACAAATTAGCTAGTACGATAAAGTCAACAGATGTCGTATTATGTTTCGACAGATTTTTTACATCTGTAAAACTTATGACTAACATTCCATTTCCATCAGTTGGAACTGTTATGGTAAATAGAAAAAATATACCAAAGATTACAAAATAATTAAACAGAGTAGAATCCGAAATTCTTGGAAATAAGTATGGTACCATTTGTGTCAAATGGCAAGACACCAAAGAAGTTACAGTGCTTAGCAACTGCCTAGGAAAAACTTGACTGTTGTTCAACGAAGAGGCAACGATGGCATTCGAAAAGATATAGAATGTATAGAATGTGCAATAGAATTTTATAATAATTTCATGGGTGGAGTGGATTTAGCTGACCAAATGTCAGGCTTATATGCCATTGACCGCAAGTCCGGTAAATGGTGGAAAAGAGGTTTTTTCAGGTTACTAATGGTTGCCGCAGTCAATAACTGAGTAATATAATAAACATCACAGACAAAAATTACCATTTCTAGATTTTGTAATCAAACTTGTCGAAGAGATGATTGCTTTTGGTAAAGAAAGATGTTCGGAAAAGATGCATTGGTAGACCATCAAAAAAATCAAGACATATGCTAAATATTGGGGAGCATCTACCAGTTGAAGGCAAAACTCGCAAGGTGTTCTCAACAAAAAAATAGAAAAAAGAACAACGACTCTATGCAGGATGTGCCAATTGCCCCTGTGCAAAAATTGTTTTACACCGTACCATACCTGAAAATAAACAATTCATAAACTGTTTTTAGTTTTTTTTTATACCGGTGGGATGTATATGTCCCATTTAATATTACAAGTGGGACATATACGTCCCACTTGTCAATGTCAAAAATCAATTAGCGGATAATGCGCAACAAAATTACAAAACCTTTTCCTAGAAAAAATAAAAACTAACCTTTTTCAGCATTTTGAGAGGTCCAAATTGCAAAATTTTAAAAGAAAATTCCTTCTAAAGATTTCCTGCTAAAATATTGGAACATCATTATGAAATACGCTGTAGATAGTTGAATTACAAATTACCAACCATTTAAAGATGAAATTAGGTACACTTCTAAAAAGATCCAAAAAAATTCACATCTATTGGATAAAAGTAGTAGTGAAATGTGGGTACAAAATGAGCAAGGTCATTGACCTCTACTTTTTTACCAAATCCGTAAATTTATCAGATTGAAAGGTATTACATTTTTAAATACATGGAGCGGGATATACGCTGTAAGATATAAACTTTCAAAGTCTTAAAAAAAATATTATAAAAAGGAAAATTATTTCCACAAAAGGATTACTACAAAATATAATAAAGATCAAAATAAAATACCGTCAAACTAAATAATTATTTGCGTGAAATCCGCTATTTTGTACAAAAAAAAAACTTAAACTCTAATTACTCACGAGTGTCATTAACACACTTTTTAACAGCTTTTCTAAATCTTTGGAAACGTCATTTTTATGCATCCTGTATTTATACATTTAACATTCATAATAAAAAAAAAAGTAATTTCTCTTAATTTTTCTAATACGCGCGATTAGTGAAAACGTCACAAGTTGAGAAAGGTCATAGCATAGGATGACAATAAAGAAACTATCATTCAGTGTCCATTTGAATAAGACGGTGATCATTCGAATTATTGAAGCATGATTTTGAAAGTAAAAACAATTTAACTATTTAAAATATTTAAAGCATAAAGCGTAAGGTGATGTTTGTCTATCGATTTCGTATTTTTTTTTTAGGAAAATATTTGAGGAGCTTATTTCCAAAACTGTTTTAATCCATTTTATATCAAAACTGAGATCCGGGCGGCACTGCCTTCCTTTTTTAAGCAGCTTTATGACAGCAACTAATTTTGGCACCCTAAAAATTGAATCGTGAGTATTGTGTACAATAACAAAACATTTTTAATCCATCGCGGTTACCGTTTCAAAACTGTCTAAATCCATCTTTGACATTTGTTATCAAAACTTATTTAATCCGTTGCATTGTGAATGGCGTGATCGTGTATATGCTATCATAACTGCTTTAGTCCTTGACATTCCACTCGTGTACTTCCCGCTTGTTTCTTGCAGGATTTGTTTTGTTTTTATTTCAGTTGTATTTTGATTTCCAACTGGTTAAGCCAGTTCCGAATCTGCTGATTTTATTTCGTGAGATATTAATAGACCTAAAAGACTCTCCACTCATCCAAATTGCATTCATAAGAAGCCCAATTTTTCTTGTTCTACGTTGTCCATGCAAGACATAAGAAAATTTCATGACGAATTTCATGCAAATAGAAATAAGATAGAGCAAGACAAGTTCATTTTGAAACATACGTCACAAAGGCAGCCAAAAAACGCCGTCCTACAAAGGAGAGACGTCCTAATTCAGTCACTGTCTCCTACTTTATTAAAACTAAAGATGGTCAACGGGAAATTTGAAGCAAAGCTTTTCTTTCTATTCTCAATATTTCAAGATTTAGAGTCCAAAGTGTGTGTAGGCACTATCTCGCCCAGGGTACTCAGCAGAAAGAAAATAGAGGTGGCGACAAAAGAAGCAGACATTTTTTGACGAGAAAGGAACGTATAAGAAATTTTATCTTGAATCTGAAGTGCGTCGATTCACACTATGGCAGAGAAAGGTCCCAACGTCTATATATGCCCAGCGATTGTAGTATCAGGCATTTGTGGAAAGCCTATTGTAACCAGAATCCAGACTTTCTTGTAAAATATGAATACTTTCACAAAATCTTTGTTACTGATTTTAATATCAGTTTTAAGAGCCCTGCAACAGACGTTTGTTCAGAGTGTATTAGACTGAAAGGTCTAATTTCAATCTCAACTGGGCAAATGAAGACCGAATATTATTGAGAACAAAAGCATTTGTTGAAATGCTACAATTCTCGGAAGAGAAGGTAAACAAATTAACATTTGATTGCCAAAAAAATATGGCTCTTTCCCGGGTTCCCGATCAGGCCACCTATTATTTTAGGCAGTTGTACCTACACAACTTCACAGTTTGCGAAGGTCATTCAAAAGCCGAACGATACTATTACTTACACATGGACAGAAAATCTCAGAAGCAAGGGATCCAATGAAATTTCATCAATGTTAGATGCAAAAAGCACTTCTTTGAGCCTTACAAACGTTACTGTATTGAAACTTTATTGCGACGGATGCCCAGGACAAAACAAGAACGTCACTATCATAGGTTAGTATTTTTTTTTTGTCTTTCAATGTAATTTTTGTTTTGCCTATGTAGGTATGCTGATGAAGTGGCTATACTTTACCAGATCTGCTGTTGAAGAGATTCACGTCATCTATCCTATTGTAGGTCACTTATATTTACCACCAGACAGAATTTTCGGAAGAATACAGAATGTTGTGAAAAGAAAAGAGGTCATAATTAATCCAAAGGAGTATAGGGCTATATTTTCTAAGTTTGCGACTGTACTAGACATGGAAAGTGACTTTGATGTTTTTGATTGGAAAACAGCAGTAGAGACTCATGTGAAACCACCTGGCCAATGGCATTTTCAATTTTCTTCGGCGAAGCGGATGATAATTAAGAAAGAAGCTAGTTCATCAGGAAAAAAGTCCTTATTAGAGGTGAAGCTAATTACCGCGCCGATATGGGAGTGTACAAGTATGTGCTGAAAAAAGGAAAAAGACTAGCGACTATTATTCCAGAACTATTGCCAAAAAAAGATCCAGTCAATCCATTGAAGTTAAATGAAGTAGATAACCTTTTGAAAAAGAGTAGATTTAACGTTTTATTAAAGGATTATTGATAATAATGATGAAATCAGCTAGAAGCGCCTGATGAAGATACCACTCTCCCCAACGTGGAAGAAGATGGGATCTGATACTGGATATTCCATTTTTTATTTTCTCTTTGATTTCAATGATTTTTTGAAATTTAAACTTACGTGGATATTAAAATTTTTTTCTATAACAAAAAGATTGTTTTACTTAGGTATCCAAAACTTTTTTATCAACTTCCGACTTATTCAAAACTTTTTAGATCCATCGTACTGTGTCAAAACTGCTTAAATCCATTTTTTTTTTTTTTTTTTTTTAATCCTGGCTTATTTCCATAACAATTTTATTTTAATGCATACAAATAAAGCAGTGATACACCATGATGATACCAAGATAATTATAAAAAATTTATCGTCAGAGTTTTTATTCGTTTACTGAAAAAAATGGTTGAGTGGATTTTAGAAGTTTTGGAAATTGGCTCCTCATTTATTTGTCCGTGATTTAAGGAATTTTAACCCAACTTAGTCAAACCCAGCTTTTTGAAGTAGATATAATTTAATTGATATATTTAAAGCACATTGACGGTTAGGTCGATGACCTTTATATCAAGAAAATATTTATTTGTCCGTGATTTGAGGAATCTTAACCCAACTTATTTAATGGATGATTTTACAAGTTATTTTAAAGCAGTAGCACAAGTCCTAGAGGTCAAGTGATTTTGTCACCACATGGCTATCTTATTGTATTATGACCATTACAATATTTATGCAACCGATAAGGCCAGAGAATGAGGTCATAAAGAAGCTAAAAATGCTCCTGATCCAGGTCGCGCTTTATACTAATTTATGTTTGGACATCAAAAGACTTTAAACCGATTCTAATTCGTAGAGGCTGAATGGGACCCAAATTGAAATATTTTATATCAGATGTTTCTGATGGTTTTTTATTACTTCACAAACATTTTTAAGTAGTTAAGGTTAATAATGTATGTTTCCACTTCACAGTTTGTGCAAAACCGAGATCTCTTTACTCAAAGGGTATTGTAAATTAATTATGGGTTGGTCTTTTCACCTTCAGATAGAGTTCCAGTTAACCAACAGATATATTATCCGAGAGTTACTATCTGACAGATAATTAGGTTTCCATCTTTTCAAGAGAAATAATCTCTATGGTAGTTTTATCTGGTAATTTTTAACGTTCTGTGGGCATGTAACTACCTTCATATCAATGTATTTATAGATGTATGTGAAGACTAGAGAGGAGGCAACTCGGGAATGGTCAAATTTCCGTCCTTCTTTTTATAAGGTTCAAGAAATTGACATGTCGAACAGCAGCGCTGTCAATTTTCTAAGTCAATGTAAAATGACGTGTTTTTTCTTAAATTGTTGAAAATAATCAAAATAATGAGAAAAAAAGTACCTGAGTACAAGTAACATGAGGACAAAAAACATCAAAGCAAGATTTACTTCGTTCCAGATTGTAAAACCAGATACAAATCAGATGTAAAACTAAAGAAAACAAGGAGAAATCACTTCAATGTCTTTTTGAAGCTTCTAATGTAAGTAAAATAATGTATTTATTTCTAAGGGTCGGTATTGGATATATTATCCGAGTTACTATTTGACAGATAAGTAGGTTTCCGTTTTTTCAATAGAAATAATCTGAAGGATAGTTATCTGGTACTTTTTAATGTTCTGTGGTCATGTAACTACATTCATATCAATGTATGTATGCATGTGATATATCACTCTCACTGTCTCTTGTTGTCGTTATTTCGTTCTGTCATTTATTTAAAAGAAGTTTTTGTATTTTTTGAATTTATTTATTATTTGAAACTCCATAAAGAAGTGACAAAAAAGAAAAGATCGACCAGACGCCAATAAGCAAGAGGTTGCTTCAAACACAAAGCAGTACAGCAAAACAAAAACTGATTTTTGGGTGTGTTATATTGTAATTAACATAGATTGTTCTTTAGATTAAATTTGATTTTAATTTTAAAGCTCTTTTTTATTATATCGCCTATATTCCCCTGTATTTTTTCGAGAATAAATGTACAATTATACCAAACAAGTAAACCACCATTTACAAAACACATCTTCAACAACGTCCATAATAGCAAATAAAATAATATGTTGACTCGTATGACATATGCCATATACATACTTATCCATCAGTTAACTACTTTATCAGGAAGTTCAGATGTAAGATATCTTTCAGATTAAACCAATTTATCTGCCGGTTAGTTTTATCCAAAAGTGAAAAGATGACTTTTTAGGTTATCTGAGAGATAACAATTACCTGACACTTTATCTGAAGGTAAAAAGGCCGATCCTAAAGCAGCAACAGTTTTAAAAATAACTGTACTAAGTTTAAGCACCTGAATTGGAATAAAACTCAAAATTGTGTGGCTTGTCATCATCTTAATTGCCATTTCCATGTGAATTATGGCTGCTTGCGTTGATAATTAGTCCTACTAAAGCCTTTACAGTGTTCCTATATGCTTGTATACACTGTAGGTAAGTTTAAAAATAAATGTATAGGTACTAAAGTTTATTGATATTGTCAGGGCCGCCGAAAGCCATGGTGGGGCCCCGGGACATTTTTATAAAAAATAAAAAGTTCTCACAAAACGTAAAGCCTCCCCCCTTGTGCCCGGGTCCCAAGAATTTGTCCCCCCTGCCCCTTCCCCTCTCGTAGGGCCTGGATATTGTAACAAATACGTATTCACTCAGTGCGAAGTCATGGTAGGGGAAGCAAAAGCGATACTAGCGCTAACGGCTGATAATTCGTGCATTCTAGGGCGATATTTTGTAATTTAGGCATATGAAATACACGTATACATTTTACTTTTTTTTAAGTAGGTAAAAACAATACAATAAGCAACCGGAGTTGCTGTGTTGAAAATTGTAAGAAGAGTAGCAAAAAAAAAGTGTAAATTATAAAAATTTTGAGTAGTAATGTAGAAATTAAATCAAAGAAATAAATGGATATGTGTACAATAAGAAAAATTACCTTTATTTTTGTAATATTAACAGTAATACTGAAAATAGACATCAGAAATTTGAAAGGTTTTAAATAAACAATAAATAGCATTTTACGATGTTCTTCAAGACCCCTTTAATCTTTAACGTTTAACAAGAATTAGATTTCTGCCTTTGATTATTGTATGTGGCTAGAATGCAATTTTGTGACTTACTGATAGGAAACCAGTTTTAATAATTCATTCTGTTTTCTTTCTAACAAAAATGAAAATATAAATCTGTTTATACATTTTAACTTCACGCTATTTTTTTATTTTGACAGAATATGTTAATTCTTCAAAGACAATTTATTAGACTTAGGCAACTTTTCATACATTTTCCCGTAAATTCTATTGCCTGCCTTTATTTTATTGATTTTTATTGAATATACTTAATTTTTTTAGTGTAAGCAATAAAAATATATAATAATAAATTAATGTTTTACTTGTTTTACAAATTCATATACTTTTATTATAACTATGATATATACTTTTTATTTACGAATTCTATTAAAAATTGTATTGTCAGTATAGGCAAAAATAGTCTATCAGTACAAAAATGAATTGGCGCTACTGTCACGCACGGAACGAAAGAACATACTTCTGATATTTTATTGTCTTGGAACTTCAGAAAATATTCAGTACAATAATTCTACAGTTGGTGAATGGCTGAATGACTGAATGCGACCACCACATTTGTTATAGTTGTCGTGGAAACATTAAATCTATATGCCAGATCAGTACAGGTAAAGTTCTGCCTTAATTTCATTAAAGTTATTAATATTTTGTTGTCGATACTTCAATAAATATTTTCCTGCAAAAAAGCATATAAAATCGATATGCAAATAAATAAACATTATCACCTTACCGTCTATACGCTTTATGTACGTAAAATTATTAAATTTTGCTTAAACAATTTGAATATCCACCTTGTTATTCAAATGGACACTGAACCAAAGTTCCTTTATTGTTATCATATGCAATGACCTTCCTCAACCTGTGACACGCACTAAATGCGTGTATTGATATGCAGTGTATCCCAAAAGTCTTAGTAAGGGCTAATCAAAAACAATAATTAACCCATTCCAAAACTTAAAGAAAATACTATATATAAATGTAGTTGTTATTAATAATTATAGTGAGAAGCAGGGTAGGACTTATATACATTAAATCTAAATATAAATTTTCACAAATTTAATATATGTTTTGTTTTTTTGATTAGCAATAAGAAATATGTTTCTAGATTTATCGCATTTGTTCTTTACCCTAATAAATTAAAGTAAAATAAACACTATTTGTTTAAATAATTATTTGCACTTTTTCATTAGGCGCTATAATACAAAACCATTCAAAAAAAAAAAAAAAAGAAATAAATAAAAACTAATTAGGAGTGTTTAGAAAAACGGTATCAATTTAAATTTAATTTAAAATGTGTGAAAATTTACTTTTAGAAACACCGAGATTTTTTAAACAAGATAATGTCAAATATGTCCGTTTTTTGCGTCACATCCACAAAAATGAGGCAGAAGTCTCTAAAATGTTACAGTTAATTAAAAACTGTTAAAAAAAATCAAAACTAAAAAATAACCTCGTTTTACCTAAATCCTCAGTCGATCAGTCGTAGCAAATAAATTATGTGGTAAATGTGTAGAAAACACCACAAATTTTTACACATAATCCTTCTAAACACTCTAAAAAACACCCCTGGCATATAATTTTTGCAGTAGTTAGGATTAAATACCAATAAACGACCTAAATATACTAAAAGCCTGTTTTTTAACATTAATTAGTGTTGCTTTTATTTACACCCACTCCAAAAACATAACACCGAAGTTTGTTATTATTTTGACATCTACATAAAACCAGATCAAACCAT